CCAGGGTCTCAGGTCAAGGTCTTCCCCATCACCTCCTGCCTGGTCCTTTTAACTGGAGATGCCGGGGATTGAACCTGGGACCTTCTGCATGCCAAGCAGAGGCTCTGCCACTGAGCCAGGGTCTCAGGTCAAGGTCTTCCCCATCGCCTCCTGCCTGGTCCTTTTAACCGGGGATGCCAGGGACTGAACCTGGGACCTTCTGCATGCCAAGCAGAGACTCTGCCACTGAGCCAGGGTCTCAGGTCAAGTTCTTTCCCATCACCTCCTGCTCGTCCTTTTAACTGGAGATGCTGGGGATTGAACCTGGGACCTTGTGCAAGTAAGCTGGCTGGGTGTTCTTGGGCCACTACAAATTCTCCGCCTGGGCTACCTCACAGGGTCGTCATTGTGAGAAAGTGGAGGAGGAGAGAACAATTGTGTTGAAAATTGCTCTGGATCATCATTGGGGTGAAAAGTGGCATAACATAAACTAGAATCCATAGTTAGCACAATTTAAAAGTTTCAGGCTTACTTTACTAGTTAGTCAATTATACTCAAATTGAGTAGGTATTAAATTTGTTCACACACAACCCCTTTTAAGAGAAAGAGAGATTTAGCACGCATACATGCTGCAAATTCAGAGACCAATATTGAAAAATTCCAAACAAGAGGATATGATGCATCATCATCATCATCATCATCATCATCATCATCATCATCATCATCATCATCCAAATAATCTAATAGAGCTGTTAAAATGTATGCAATACTCTGCCATGTAAATGAGTCCAAAAGTAGGAGAGAGAAAAATTCAGAGCCATAGTTTTTACTCTTGTTTTAGAAAATACTTGCCCATTAAGATACCCTTGACTTTCATTTTACAGCTCTCCATACATTCTATTGTTCTGTACTAAAAAGGTTTCTGAAGAGCACTTTTAAATGAATTATTCATAGAAACTACTTCAGTGGTTGCTGTGAAACCTTGAACTATTTCATCTTTGAAGTTTGTAGAACAAATCTATGCATATTGGATGATATATTAAACACATGTTGTAGCCATTGTTCATGGCTCAACAATACTGTAAGTAAAGTGGCTGACTTGGGTTGATAGGACCAATCACAAAATGTTAGGAGGTTGCAAGCCAAGCATTCTCCTACGATGGAGATTTCTGAACTGGTGCTTCTCACAATTGCAAAGGTGTTCTTCTGAAGAACCTCCTGTTCCAATGAAGTGGAACAAAGACAGCATTGGCTCTCCCCCCTCCCCCAGTTGGAATAAAGAGACAGACACCAATATGGATTTAACAAGGGCCACTTTATTAATTATTTAATAACAACAAATACTAGCGAGGGGTTACCAGAAATGTACTGAGAAATATGA